GCCATGTCATGGCCAAGCTGGTGCTCGATGCGCCAAAGGAATTCACCGGCCGTTTCTATTCGTATGTGCAATCCCACACAGATTACGCGAGAAATACTAATTATTGGCAGATGGAACGACAAGGAGCTCGAGGGTTTCCAAGAATAAGAATATCATTGATAGCTAATGTAAATTTTTGGTTGATATCTGTGATCTTCATAGCAAGTCAGTAAAGATCGCCATATAGCAATGAGTGCAAGAATTGAAGCAACGATTGTTTACAAGTCAGTCGAAAGATGAAAAGCAATACATTTTAGAAGCATTAGGTGCAGAACACCTTCATGTTTAGCATGGAATGTAAAGGTATACATCATGTAATTGGAATTGAAAATATAGCAAAATTTCTGCGCGTACCTTTTAAATAGTACAGATGTAAAGATCCAATCCTTTCAATTGTGTTCCGCAAATATAATCCAAGCAGAAACGAGCTCCAAGCTATAATAAGAGAAGAATTTCCTGTAAAATTCTTCAATAAAGTTAGCAACAGCTTCAACAAATGAAGTGAGATGCAAATAGGCAGAATTGATAGAGATCAGATAGTCCGTTTGGCTAGGACAGGTAAGGTCACCATGGAATGTATGATAGGGGCGACAAGCAAAGTTCATCATGATAGGAATTGAGAAAAAGAGATTCGAGCAAGAGCTTACCATTAGTGTGTGGCCTTGGAAAGAGTCAATCTCATTTGAAGGACTCTTTCCAAGGTAGTTGGAGGAGAGTGAAGACTGATGAAGAAGAAATAAAATAGGAAAAAATTTCAGCACCATTTATGTGGTCCAAAGCGGTAGTATTCTGCCGGCAAGAAATTGTACTTAACCCCGTCGCGCGTCTGCGATGGGCCTTGAAACTTTGAGCCCCACGCAAAAGATCAAAGAAATTAAAGCATCCCTTTCTGCGTCTCTCCCTTAAGATCTGACACTTGTTCTTTATTCGCTTGTCATAATATTACCTGATTCGCTATGTCCGACCGAGAATTCAACTGTAAGTGATCTCTGGATCTTGGCCGCCTCCGCGCAACCTGCTGACCTGTACGTGAATAGCAAACGATGACCTATCGCTGCCCAAAGGTACGGTGCAACCCCCAATGTGTATAGCTCTTTGTGCGCTTCTTTGCCACTTCATCACCCGTGCACTTGTGGCTTCACATATGTGTTTGCTAGCATTTGCTAACTTATCTCTACGATAGCGACGGTCCAGAAGATCATCACTGAGATTTTACCACCTAGCTCCGGCCAAACCTTCTCAAAGGATGCGCGCGACTTGCTCATGGAATGCTGTGTTGAATTTATCACACTGATCTCCTCCGAAGCGAACGATATCAGCGAGAAGGAGGCCAAGAAGACCATCGCTTGCGAACATGTGGAGAAGGCATTGCGGGATCTCGGTTTCAGTGATTATATCGCTGATGTACTCGCTGTCGCCGAGGAACACAAGCAACAGCTGAAGGTATATTCACATTTGCTTAGATCTGTGCCACCTTAGATACCAGGCTGACCTCTGATCTTTCATTATAGTCACGAGAGAAGAAACAGAGCAAGATGGAGCAAAGTGGTCTAACAGAAGAGGAGCTGCTAAGGCAACAGCAGGAGCTATTCAGGTCAGCCACTGACAAGTACCATGCTGTCCCAGAATAGAATCACCTAAGACTCATGCTGGTCATAGAGTGGAAAGGATGATGGCGTTTTGTGTGTCCCACCGGATTTGTGGGTCTGGAGTTTTTCTGTCATTCAAAGGTTTCTGTTTTCCCTTTTTTTCCCTTCCTGTGCTTTGTGAAGATGGGTTGTGGGCAGGATATACTATTTAATGATGCGACAACGCACAATGCATTTGTTAATTGCATATGATGTGAATGTTCAACAGGCATGATCCACCTCTTACTAGAAGGGCCAACAACATATAGCATATATTCAATAATAGTGTCTGTAAGCCACCATGGCCTTTAGTGCATGTTCACAGATCTTGTTCTAGCTGAGTTCAAAGATAAATCCTATCCAATTGACTGTGTATAAGTGACAGTGCACCCGTTGTATATATGTACATTTCGAACTTAACTTCGATATTTGATTATTCATTCATCTTAAATGAAGTACAGCCCTGGAGTAGTAAATCAATCACAGTAATTGAGCAAAATTATTCTGAATTAACAAGTTTTGTTTGTATTAATCGAAGTTGATTGTTGCCTTGGAAAAGTAGACGCCGAATCTCCAGAGACATTTCCTGTTCAACATTGACTCCACTACACGTGATTTCTGATCCGCCCAAATCACACTAGCCACAATGGGAAGAAAGCGCCAACGCAAATCGAGCCACCGCGGAGCTCCCGTGCGCAGTCATCACTCGTCGCAATCGTCGCAACGCTCTTTACTGCCACTGGTAACAATGCCTCCCTTTAAGGATGAGCATGTCCTGGTATGTTTGGTTGTTCATATTTTGTCGTTCAAAATTAACCCATTCATCTAGCTAATTGCGCCGGGTTCGCAAATGACCTTGGCGCAGCTCGGCCTGCCTGAAACATTCACGCCCGCGCGATTTCGGTTCCCAACACGCATGTTCCCCGCTGAAAAGAAGGGAGAATATGAGCCTTACCGTGTCCATGAGAGACGTCAAGAGGTGGTGGTCAAGGTCAACAATGACACGGATGCCCCAAAGCCGGACGTGGAGATGAAGGACGCTGAGCCCGCCGCGGCCGATGGTACCACAGCCACAGAAACCACCGTCAACACCGATGAAAATACCCAGGATAATGGCGATTCAACCAAGACTGTAGAAGAGGTCTTCTACGAGGAGGACCCGGCATCCGACGAAGGGGCAATCTATCCGATCGAGAACGGGCGTATTGTCGACTGGCCCTGTTTCTTCGCCCTGCTCACTCACATTCACAATACCTTGAGTCCACCTTTCCACACCCCTATTATGCTTATTGGTCAGCCAGTCTGGTCTGCACGCGATCGTGAAGCAATTACTCAATTTGTCTTTGAGAAGTTCAAGGCACCCGCGTTTAGCCTTATGGACTCTGCTCTTGCGGCTTGCTACGGCTATGGTACACCCACAGCCACTGTTGTCGATGTTGGAAAGGGCAAGGTCGATGTCACTGCTGTGACAGACTTCGCAGTCAATGAACACGGCAGGGGAATTGCACTGGAGGGGTGTGGTGGAGACGCTATGACCGATCGTCTTGTTGAGCTGCTGGGTCCGAAGGGATTTACCAGAGAGATGTGCGAGCAGCTCAAGCGAAGCAATATTACTGAGATTCTGCCCCCGGGAACCCCACTGCCTGGGTCTTCTGCTACTGCGCGCCAGGGCGCCAACCCTGCCGCTGCTGCCTCGACGGGCGGATCAGATGGAGATGAATCTGCCCCGCGCGGCCCAGGAGACGGCACTCAGACAGGAATAGAGGGCGATAATGGTGACGAAGAGGAGGGTGTTCTCGATGTCGCTGCGATTGTCAGCGGCAACCCCACTGAATACCTTGCCAATGTCGAGAAGGAAAAGACAACCACCAAGAAAGGCGCAGTTGACCCCAAGGGAGCCCGCCTACCTAACTCGAAGAAAGAGAAGGCGTCATTCCAGTTCGAGGAGTTTGTTCAATTGGAGGGAGAGAAGGCAGCAGCCAACGGTGCTCGGCAATATATCCGTCATACTCGGGATATTGAAGTCAGTGTTGAGCGTTTCCTTTTAACTTCGCCTCGCTCGAAGGCCGGAAACCGCCTGACTAGTGGTATACTCGAAGATATTGCGACTCAGGTTCACCACACCATTCTTGCCGTCCCAGATGCTACAAAACGAAGCGAGCTTTGGGACTCTCTGATTATTGTCGGATGTGGAAGCAAGGTCAAGGGTATGTTTTATCATTGCTACCTAGGGTTTAGTTCCTTTTGCTAACATTAAAACAGGTTTCACACAGGCTTTGCTGGCTGTCATCACGCAAAAGTTCATACTTTCTCCATCCGGCACCATCTTCACGTCTGAAATCCCTTCAAACTTCACCACCCCCTTCCGACCGGTGCCAACACACCAGCTCCTATGGGTCAACCCGGCCCGATGTACCACCCCACGGCACCTGGAGTAAACCCTCTCCTTGTGGCTGCTACTCACAACAATCCCGGTCTGCCCGGTGGCATGCCCGGCACACCCTCCATGGACCCCAGCATGATGTCACACCACCGTTCAACAGGCCACTCCCAAACTCCAACCTCAGTCAAGACCCTGAAGCTTCCTGAGTATTTCCCAGACTTCAAGGACCAAGGCAACAGTAACGCTCCTGGCACCAGCGCTGGGGGTACACCAGGCGCGCCCGGCACGTCCCAAGGCGGCCATGGAATGGAAGAGGCTGTTTTCCTCGGCGCTCAGATGGCTGCCAAGGTTTTCTTTGTCATTGATCAGGGTCTCAGCAAGGGTTACATGAGCCGGGTTGAGTACAACGAGAGCGGACCATCTGCAATCCACGAATACATCTTGTAATGCTTGCAGACTCGGTTGTTTGATACTCATGCTATTCTATCCCATATTTCTTCGCCTGTTGTTGATGAACACTTCCGCCTTGGCAAAGTTGGCTGGTTTGTCTCCGAAATATGTCTTACTTGTTTTATGTACGCTATGATCCTAGGTAGAAAAGCGATCTCAGGATGGCGTAGGCTTTGGGGGAGTTCTATTTAATTTTATCAGGATAGTTCAATGAAGGTACTCGGCTTCACTTCATGTTCATCCATCTAAACATTGAATTAAGGAATCAACTAACCAGCCTTGGAAACTCAAGGGACTAGGCCTATTTGGTACGTGTCATGTGATGTATTATATAATAATCCGGCTTATCGCGTTGATCTGCGCCACATCCAAGCTTTCTCACGACTCGCTTTCAACGCTTCTCAACATACCCCATCTTTCTGATCTCTTGACACTTCGGAGCTTTCCTTCCTTGTCGCTTTCTTCGAACGCTTATCCGACTTTATTTATCAACACACAAAATGGGCCGCGCGGAGGCTGGCACTACAAAAGCCATCGGCAACAAGATCAAAAGCAAAGGATTGGGTCGCCTTCGATGGTATTGCCAAGCATGCGAAAAACAATGTCGAGATGAAAACGGGTTTAAGTGTCACACTATGACTGAAGGGCATGGTAAGGAACTCCATCCTCTATATCCTGGCCACCGGCTAACTTTATGTTAGTGCGACAGATGATGATCATTGGGGAAGACCCGCGCAAGCACATCAGAGAGTTTAGTCGCGAATTCGAGCGCACTTTCCTCGAGACCCTCAGAACCACGCATGGAACCAAACCTATCAACGTCAATCATTTCTATAATCAAATTGTGGCCGATAAGCAGGTATGTCTCTAGTATTTCACTCTTTTCTGGTCATTCTGGCTAACTTCTTCATAGCACATTCACATGAACAGCACAGGTATGTCGCGACGGAAAGGATAAACGAGGACTAATGCTAACTTTGGTGGCAGAATGGAAAAGTTTATCACAGTTTGCAGCCTATTTAGGCCGGGAGGGAAAGTGTCGAGTTGAGGACACCGAAAAGGGCTTGGTCATAGCGTGGATTGATAACAGTCCAGACACACTTCGCCGCCGGGAGGCCATCTTAAAGAAAGAACGCCAGGAGAAGGGAGACGAAGAGCGAGAGCAACGCTTGATTCAGGACCAGATTAAGCGCGCCCAGCAAGCGGCGCTGGCTAGCAGCACTACGACAGAACCGGAACCCGAGGCAAGATTGTTGCAGAGGAAGGAAGGAGAAAAGATGACGTTGAATCTTGGACTTGGCTCGAAGAAGACAGATGCAAAGCCCGCCTCGCCTCCTACGGTAACAACGACGGCGGAGTTGCCGGAAGAAAAAGATGCACCGATAGGAAACACCGACTCTCCCGCTCCGTCTGCGCCTGCCGCACCCGTCAAAATATCGATGTCAATGGGTGCACAGAAGCCGAAAAATGTGTTTGCTGCAGCAGCTAAGAAGAACCCTTTGGCTGGGAAAAAGGGTTCTATATTCACAGCGCCTAAGAAGATGACTGAACAGGAAAGGATTATGAGAGCTGAAATGGAAGCAATGGAGCGAAAGCGATCCCGTCCGGACTCCGGGTTCACGAACAAACGACCAAAGATCACTTGAAGTGACATGGTTTACATAGAGAAAAATACATACCCAGCTACCCGGCCCATGCGGTTGAGCCTATCACCATGCACAAACCTTATGGGAGGCTTTGGGCCGGGTAAGTCGTTTCTTCAAATTCCTTCCGTTTGTATCATGCACAGTATGTGGGGCTTCAAGAGGTATTCGACCATGTTGCATTCAAACAGTTGTCTTAACATTGTCCATAGGTGATCGTACATAAAACCGTGGGTGGAATCCAACCTCCGAAATATGTCTACAACTATTCCCATTAACCTTCTCCAAGCGACGTCGAGTTTTGTGATCTATTTGGAAAGTGGGATCGAAACCTACCTGGGCATCGCATATATAGCAATTACTTGCTAGCATTCACGCGAGCTCTTGGTGTTGAATGGAAGACTGACGTGTCTGAGACCTCCACGGGCCGAAAAAGAATCGGGCCGTTGGAAACCTGATCGGATCAGGTTTGAGACATTAAGCGCAGTCTGGCCTATCGGCAGTGATATTACGAATCTAAAGCTGGGCTGGGTTCAGCTGCACGCATTTTTATAGTAAATGTACACACGGCGATCGCTCGGACCGAGCTTTTGCCGCTCACATAGCGACTGAGCCATTTTCTGCGATGCCGACTTTCCGGTGATCGTCCGGTACATCTCGGAGATGGGTCGGCGTTGCAAGTATATACCTGACACCTTTGCAAGCCTCCTTGGGAGTATAAGTATCTGCAATATCACCTTCAAGTATCTGGCACGACATTCTAATACTCCCAAAAGTCCTTCCATTGCCATAGGCTCTCATATTCATTATTATGTCTTCAACAATACCAGAAGAAGGCTCGGAGACCCCAGAGCCTTTGCATGCCCAGCACCTATCTATGGCCGAAACCCAAGAGAGCCTCCGCAACCGGGGCATCGCAGACACCCCTCCGGCATTGGATTACAACTACCCAGCTATTGGACATGACAAAGACCCTGTATTCCCCGAGGAGTACACTGTTGAGACCAGTACTGGCCTTGTTCCCCAAAGAACCCTGGAGCAGATCCGATCTCATGGTTCTATCTCATCGACGAAGATCGGAACACCAACAAACGAGGTCAACACCGACATCGAAAAAGGAGGAAAGGGCCCCACGGAGTTTGTAACCTTCACCATCGGTGATCCTGAACACCCCTACAATTGGTCCCGTGCTTATCGCTGGTATATCACTCTTGTCGCCTCGGCACTTGTGGTATGTGTCGCATTCGGGTCCTCCATCGTCACTGGAGGACTGGGTTTGATTGAAAAACAATACAATGTCTCTCTCGAAGTTGCGATCCTAACATGTTCAATCATGGTCTGCGGATTCGCAGTTGGCCCTCTACTCTGGTCTCCCCTCTCTGAGATCATCGGCCGAAGGCCTGTATACATCATCTCACTCGGTTTATATGTGATTTTCAATATCCCATGCGCTCTATCCCCAAACATCGGTGGCTTGCTCGTCTGCCGATTCCTATGCGGTGTCTTCTCTAGTTCAGGCCTTTCCCTCGCTGGTGGTACCATCGCCGATATCTGGAGCATTGAGGAGCGCGGGATGGCTATTGCTTACTTTGCTGCTGCACCCTACTGCGGCCCTGTGCTTGGCCCTATCGTGACAGGTTGGATCAACGTTGGAACGGGCCGCCTCGACCTCTTCTTCTGGGTGAACCTAGCCTTCGCCGGTGCTATCATGACCATGATCGGCCTTGTCCCAGAGACATATGCTCCAGTGATTCTTAAGAGACGCGCCGCGAAACTCCGCAAAGAAACCGGAAACAACATCATCACCGAGCAAGAAAAGACGAAGCTCACATTCCGAGAAATCGCTCGCACAAGCCTGATCAGACCCATCACTATGATCATGACAGAGCCCGTCCTCGACCTAATGTGTATGTATATCGTGCTGATCTACGCAATGCTGTACGCCTTCTTCTTCGCATACCCGGTGATCTTCACCAAGCTCTATGGCTACAACGACGGCCAGATCGGTCTCATGTTCATCCCCATCCTGATCGGCGCCGGTTTCGCCCTAGTTGTCACTCCCGCCATCGAGGGCAAGTTCCGGAAAATCTGTAGCACGAGATCTCCAACACCAGAAGACCGACTCCAGGCAGCGCTGATTGGTGCGCCTTTTATCCCAATCGCCTTCTTCATCTTGGGCGGTACCTCCTACAAGCATATTATCTGGGTTGGACCTGCTTCGTCGGGGATTGCCTTTGGTTTCGGCATGGTGTTGTGCTACTATGCAGTGAATAACTATATCATCGACTCGTACCAGAAGTACGCTGCATCGGCCTTGGCGGCTAAGGTCTTCCTCCGCTCTGGTGGTGGCGCGGCTTTCCCGCTGTTTACTACGCAGATGTATGATCGTCTTGGGTTGCAGTGGGCTTCTTGGCTGCTTGCTTTCATTGGGGTTGCCATGGTTTTCATTCCGTATATCTTCTACTTTTTTGGGGCGGGGCTGCGCGCAAGACTTAGTCGGGACTAGGAGAATTGTTGATGATGTTGTTGTTGTGTCTTTCTTTTTCTTGGAGAAAGGTTAGAACGTTCGGGAGGATAAGATCGGTGGAGAGACGAAAGTCCTGATTTGGACATAACTTTGGCGGATAATGAAATAATAGACCTAATGATAGAACATTCCAATAATAATAGTTTGAATCAATTCGTGCAGAATATTGCTATGCCCGACCCTTATAGGCCCGTTACATCCGTTCTATCTGGCGGAAACCCGCTATTGCAGGTTCTGCAACCTGTCGATGGAAACGGGCCATATGGCTTGTGAGAAGGGACTCTTGACATTCCTCATCGGAATAATATTTTACATAACTCTAATATTCGGTGCGCACTTGTGAGTACATCGATCTTTAGGAGAAATAGTGACTTGACTTGCGGAAAAAGCCTTCGGCTAAAATAAGAAGTTCGAACGCACCTTTGGAAGAGGTGTTGGATGGAACTTTTTGCGACCTTGACAGAGAAACATGAGCTTCCGCCCTTGAATATGAATGACTCTTGTGCAACTCCACGCTAGACTTGGAAGTGAACCCCTTTGGGGGGGATTGAAGTATCTCTAGCCACCTAAGTCCGTATTGGAACTGGACTGAAGATAAAGGCTGTCTGGATTGGTAGCCTAAGACTGTAGAAAATCGTCAAATGCATCTTCCCATGATCTTTGTAACCATTACAACCTACGCTGTATTAATTTCATAATGGCAGTTGACGGATTTTGCGGAAATGGTTACATTCTTAGCCGCACGCGGTAATTGACGGGACGCTTTGAGAGTGACGGGATGTAGTAGGAATGCAAGACAAAGTCACTTATATGATCTCCAGTAATTTAACAGCATTTGATGACTGTTATTCCATCGTACCGATGCATATAATCCATTTAAGCAATTCCTCTTTCATTAGCATCCCTAGCGGTGTCTCACAATGATTTCTCAATTGGCTAACAACACCCGCAAGATAATTTCAATTGCTATCGGAGTGTTTTTGGCGTACGCACTACTGTCGTTTATTATCAGAGACATCGGAGACACCGGAGACACTGTGTGGCCACATAAATTGTCGCGTTTTTCACAAAGTGGCATACGCGATGGCGATTTCGACCACATCTCAAACACCACCCTTGGGGTTAGTATTCGCTTCATGTATTCTACACGATATCAACTGGTTTGGGGTTAACCAATGTCTTTTATCAGTTTGAGCACATATATGCTATTGGTTTAAAAGAGCGCACAGACAAGCGTGATTTCCTTACAGTATCAGCCTCGGTCACCGGCTTCGAAGTCGATTGGGTTGACGGAGTTCACTCACAAGAACTACAACAGAAAGCGCTACCAAATGTATGCATTCAGGTTCTTACTTCATAAAGCACTTACTGATGGTCGAGGGTAGGGATACAACCTTTCAACTATAGAGCCTAATGCGGTTGGATGTTGGCGCGCTCACATGAATGTATTGAACAGGTACAGTTGGCTTCCCTATCCTCTCTTCTTCAATCTAATTTAAGCTGTTTAATCTAATCTTCGTGGGAGAATCAGTGTCATTACCAACTCTTATTCCACCGCCTTGGTACTAGAAGATGATGCCGACTGGGACGTGAACATCAAGACCCAACTCCGTGAATTTGCTCGTGGTCTTCACTCTCTAAAAGGGGACAAAAAAGGTATCCAAACAGGCTCCTTACGGAACTGATTGGGATCTTCTCTGGATTGGAGGGTGTTCATCAAGGGCAGATAAAAATGAAACTCAATTCTACGCCATCCCTGACGACCCAACAGTCCCAAGTCTCGAACGCCGACGCACATGGTTTGGCCCGCTGGACAGCTGGAAAGAGGTGTTTTCTGAAGACTCGACACGGTTCATTTACCGCGCTGAAGAAGGCTGTTGCACTTATGGATACGCAGTTACCGCCAGAGGGGCGAAGAAGATCCTTACAGCTCTAGCCATCGATCACATAGAGGCACCGGTTGACCTTGCTATGTCTGAATTGTGCGGTGGCGTTGGTGACCGTGAGCGTATTGAGTGTTTCGCGCCATTCCCAATCTCATCGGAACATATAGACCAGCGGGTCCAGCATTCAAAGATTCCGATATTAATAGCGGCGACCAAACTGTTCATGAGGAACAAGCTTATAACCTTGTATACAGCACACGACGCAATATTCACAGATTGGTTTCTGGTGCAGAAACGGTCCTTTCACAATGGGGTGATGAGGCACCATGGTCACCAGGAGAAGTGAATCCGAAAGAGCTTGTTTATCCACGGGGCTACCATTTTCACTAGTTTGATTGCGATCTCTCTTTTCCTTCTGTGACATGCTGTTCTGTTACTATTTTTCAATTATATGGGGATCAAGATAATCAATTTTTGTCCTCGATTGTTTAAGGTTTTATTAAAACTGCATTTAGAGCAACCGTTGCATTGAAGAGTTAAGCCTCATTCCAGGAACGGATATAGCCAAGAGATAGAATAGGAGGATATAAGGGCTAGAAAAAGGAAAGAAAGGTAAAAAAGGGTAGTCCAATGCTAGTCCAATGCTACGGTAGTGGGACGAGGGTGGTATCCCGATCTGACTGCAAAAGTAAATCTAAGAAATTCTTCCGTAGGATACGAGACTTGGACTTAATTAGAGTAGCTAATTTCTTTCTACACATATTGTTCAGAAGTTTGCTGCTCACTCCATTCAAAGATGTTTACCTTTCATGAGCTCAGATCAAAGCTCAAGGAGGCAGAAGGATGGTCTCGCAATTACTTCAAATCCGACACGGAGGAATTGGGCCTTCTCGAAAAAGCTGATGATTCGGAAGGTCAATCTCTCGATCTATCAGACGACGAAGACAGAGCCCCTGGAAAGCTCCGCCTGGTGCTGTCCATCACGACCAATATCGTTTCGACGGTTTCAATAGTAAGTGAGCACCAAAGAGACACACCTATTCTCTTTCGCTAATCATCTGTAGGTTTTCACAAATAAATACATTTTCTCCAACGAAACACTACGCAATTGTCAAATGGCCTTCGCGTCTTATCACTTTTTCATTACCGCGCTCACTTTGTGGGTACTATCGCGGCCTTTCTGCGGTGCTTTCGTCGCCAAGTCAGTCTCTCTTCATCGGAATGTTCATCTGATCGTCCTGATGTGCGCTCAAGTCATCCTTCAAAACATCTCCCTGGCAAATTCGTCTATCATATTTCACCAGCTCGTGCGATTGTTACTAACGCCTGCAACTGCTTTGCTGAGCTTCTTACTCTATCGCTCTGGCATTCCCAAGGCATCCATTCTCCCCATGATTGTTTTGTGTGGAGGTGTCGGAATTGTATTCTGGTCCGATTCATATTCGACTAATACAGCCGTTTCAACGTCTTCGAAGGGTGTTATATGTGCATTTACCGGTGTCATTGTTAGCGCCTTTTACACATCACTGGTTGGAAGCTATCAAAAAAAGCTGCAAGTGAACAGCATGCAGCTCTTACTCAACCAAGCACCAATGAGCGCCAGCTTACTTTTGTGTATGGTTCCCTTTCTTGATACACCGCCAACAACCACTGTACTTTCACCATCGTTATATATCGCGATTCTCGCAGTGAGTACTTCCTTTTCATTGACGTTACCCTTTCACGGCATCAAAGCTCTGAGTGCTAACCCCTTGTGTAGAGTGGTTTATTTGCTTGTCTCGTCAATGTGTCACAATTCGCTGTAATTGATGCTGTAGGTCCCGTTAGCAGCACGGTCATTGGGCATTTGAAAACATGTACGATTGTGGGCTTGGGCTGGTTCCTAAGTGACCACTCTGTTTCGAAGCAAAGTATCGCCGGGATTCTCATGGCTTTGCTTGGAATGAGCTGGTAAGTATTCACTTCCTCAAAACATACCCCGCTCTAATCAATTATTTTTCGAACAGGTACATGGTTACTATTCTACAAGGACGCAGATGAAATGCAGGGATAATGTGGGCTATGACAGTACTCGAGTGACATGCGTTTCAAGAAACGGGCAAGCGGATGTGAGATGAGGAATGACGGATGTCAAACATGTAAAGCAACCTGAGAAGACTGGTCGTATCAGGAATGGAATTACTTGCCTAGAGGAATATTTCAATATTTACCCATAGAATACGCAAAAGACAGCCGAAATAATATCTATTTTGTGGGTTTCAACTACTCTATAAATCGCCGAACCAACATGTTAAACCGAGTGTTCCGTGTCATTACAATCTCGGGCGTCAAGTCATCCAGCTGTGGCGCCACTTGGTGCCGGGCATGATAAGCGAGTTGATGTGGGTACATACTACCATTGTGGCTGGCAAGGGTCTTTCCAAACTTCCCGGCCTGGGCATCAGTAAGCGGCTCGTGCATATACTGTATAGAGTCCCAGCTTGGCCAGAAGAACGCCGATGGTGATAAGGTGCAAACATCTTCTGGGAACGCCAGAGACCACTCCTTTGGGAGTATGACCGAGTGGGTGTTCCACTCGCCTACCTCAAAGGAGCTGTAGCTCTCCTTCCAGCGGTTCATGAATGCGGCTCCCTTCCGCCCCAGAATGATGCCGTTGCAGAGCCCGAAGCGGCCACGACCCTCGTTTCCGAGAACCGTGTCCTTTGGGCTATGCAAAAGATCGTCAAATGGCTGCAGAGCGATGATATCCGTGTCGAGGTAGATCCCGCCGTCGCGATGTAGTATGTCTAGCCGCATCACATCCGAGATGTGGGCTAGGTACCAATTCTCTTCGACTTGTTTCGGATATTCTTGTTCTAAGTCATGGTGGACGAGCGTGATGTTGGCGTGCAGCTTGCGTAACCACTCATTGTCGTCGTTGAGGTCGGTATAATGTAGATTCAGCCGGTCTGGTTGGAGAGACACTAGTGCGGCCCGCATCGCCAGATAGCCCACGAAGGATAGTTCAGTCCGATTGAGCCATATAAAATTTACGACCTTCGGGATCGGATTGGGGGACAATGTCCCACTCTTGGAGCAGTGTCGCTCTTCCGGAGTCTCTTCAGGGATGTCGTCGAATTCTTCCTGGGGCTCTTCCAACCCTTGAAGACCATGCGGGTCCTGAATATTGTCTGCGGTGGTCCCTATGGTGGTATTCGTTCCGGTCAATGCTTTTGCACTCGTGGCGCTCTCCGTAGGACGGTAGATTGAGCTCTGTTGATCTCCAGCTAGCTCGGCCGGTTTCCCTTTAAAGGGTGGGCGGGTGTAGTAGGTGGTCACATGTTGATATCCGGCAGCAGCGCGATTAAAATGCCATGTAGTTGGTTGAGGAGTACCCAATAAATAGAGGATAGTCACAGACGAGATCACCAGAATTGTGAACTTGGCGAGAAAATTGAACCGAGACATACTGGACTTGCGCGTGTCAGATATCCTGCAGTGACCAGAGTCAAATGGGAATGTGGCCCGTGTTAGCGATTGCTTTACGATGCTAACATAGCGCAGGCGCCATAACATTCGAGGTTTAATGGTTCTGCAGTGACCGGAAATGGCATCACGATGCCAAATTCTCGGTTTATTGGCGCTCTGATCAAGGCTTCTATGCTACAAAGAGCCAGAAATAGTGCCTAAAGTAGTCCTGCTATGGGTTAGTGAGATAAGATCAACTCCGGTTTATTGTGTGTCATCTCATCCCTTGTAGGAAACCGCATGCGGAAAATAGTACTTGACTGAAGCCTGACAGGAATGTCCCGACAAAAGGAAAACTTTTCTTTTCTTTTTTTCCTTTTCTTTTCTTCTTTTTTTTATAAGAAGGATATTATCAGGTATATGTTAAGCAACTATGCATAGTCAAAACGGTAAACAGTCAAATACAATGTCCAATTTGGTATTTGCAATACATACTTGGGGCATCTATTTCAAAAATACATACCTCGGTACACAAAAGTAACAAAGGACAACTTTTGAAGGTAGATCAGTTCGTACTCAAACAGGAATTGCCAGGTGCTCGCTATTAAAGGAGATAAGGTCGTCACTGGCCTCAGCCTTGCCGGACCCAAATGACTGCACATTCCATTTGTCGACACCATCCACTCCCTCCAGATCATTCGCGAATGTGCTGAAGAGATCACGATTAAGCCGTTCATACTCGGAATATTTCCTTGGGCCAATCCCCAAGGCGCTCAACGGCAAGTTTGAGCATATGCAAATGTTGTCGGACGTGCTTCCCTTCTTCCGCATTTTCGCCAGGGCTGGAGGCAGCCGAAGGGGACGACATGCCCGAGATCACCTCTATGTCCACATCGCTGGCTGATTCCGAGGACGGATCAATGAACACACGCAATGCATTCTCGTGCAGCGCGGCTGCTTTCCGATAGTACCGGTAGGCCAGCTCGCGCCGACCCTTCTGGCTTTGATAGCCTTGGGCCACGCTGGTATACATCTGGGATAGGGAGCACGGTCATCTCGACAGTACTCGGGTGGCGGGGTCCATAAACACGAGCACAGTTGTAGACAAGATCCTCCGCGAGTCGGACGGCTGCGGTGTAATCGCTGATGAGATAGCGGGTAATGACCAGCATGCGCCCGAGGGCAAGCGTATATGCATGCTGCGGCTGTGACAAAGCGTGGGCCTCCCGGCTGTTCCAGAGGGAGGTGAGAACCCAGGCCAAGGTGTGGTAGTCATGTTGCTCATCGAGAACCTTGATCAAGCTATTGACGTTTTCCACATCCAGTTGTGTGAGCTCAACGTTGTGATCTTTGAAATACCTCAAGGTATCACGCAGAATACTCGCCGATACGCTCGCCATGTACTTCTTGGCCGAGGCTGCTGGACGTACGTCTTTTTCTCGGCCGGCGATGAGAAGACCCAGCTTGAACACCAGCTTGACTATCGCCTGGGACGAGTAGCCATGGTTGGCACTAATGTATTTCCTCGCCGCCAATGCGAGGTGGCAGGCAAGCTGGTAGTCTCCGGAGTGAAGCAGCTGGGTTGCGCGGTTGTAACTAGCGATAGCCACTGAACGGACAAAGTCGTGTGAGGCATGGGTGCCGAAATATTCTAGAACTGCCTCAATAAAGACCTTAGCCTGGTTAGGGTCGATATCCAGGCGGGACCCCTCGTTCGCTAGGAAGAAGCTGGTATACTGGTCCGCCACCTGAGTGGCAGCGGATTGACGGCCTCGGCTAAGTAAGAACGCATGCAGGCGGGCCACCGTTGTCGTCGTGTCCTTGATCTTGCCAGTTTTGGAGCTGAGGGCTTCTCGGAACTGTTCGAAGTATATGTACTCCGTGGTGAGGGCGGCGTAGATTTCATTCAAAGTAGTAGAGGTGTCTTCAGACTCCCGGATGCTGCTTTCGAGCTGAGCCAGGAAAACAAGGCTTAACCGCCCTTTTGAACTCTGGTCGAAGCCAAGGCTGGTATCCTTAGTCATAATCTGAAGGTAGATGTCGTTTGAGAGCTCCTTGGCCTTTTGGATTTGACCGGCTGCGATGTACCCAGATGCAATGCTCCTGGCCGCCGCACTCAATTTAATAGAGAATGTCTCGGTCGATAGCACATGCGTTGCTGCTTCATGTAGCAATGAAGCAGCTGTCTGTGACTTCCCTTGTTTGGTATAGAGTGAGACGATCTCTTCCATCTGCGATAGGGATTCCTCGTGGGCCCATCCGTATCTGGACCGGATGGACGTCAGCCGTTGGGTGCGGATGGACAACGCCTTCTGTAGCTCCTTTGCCGACATGCTATCCACCCTTGAAGCAGTCACGGAGGCAGTCTGTTGCTCGTAGATAGTATCCAAGGTGGTGCGGATATCCTGACGGTCGATTTCAACTTCACTGGATGTAATCTGCAAGAGTTCTTCGTAGAGTTGCACCGCTTCCGCTTCGAATTGCTTGTGCTCTTGGCAGATGTTCGCCAGCGTGTTTGTTGCCTGTATAGTGATCGACGCGCTCGTGCCGAAGAGGCTAATGCACGATTTGCGATATTGCACCGTCACATCATGAATGACAGTGATGTCACTGTGAGTCTCACGCAGACAATGGACATAACGTCTGTATATGGTCTGGACAAATCCTGGATCGCGCAATTTCTGGCTGATCTGGGGGCTCTGCAGGGTGGCGAACAACATTCGGCAGGGCTTTAGCGCGTCCGCGTATCGATTTTGCTTCAAGAGCTCCATCGCCACGATCAAAAGTGGCTCGAAGGCATCCGGGTGACAGATTTCCGAGCCCTTGCACAAGAACTGGACGATCTGGCGATAGTAATCCACTGCGATGGGCTGCGGGCTCGTGAGCTCGGCCAGTGTCCAGAGCTTTTGTATTACAGTGGGATGCTCCCCCCCGAACCGCTTGGTATAATCATGCAGTATATCCTGGTGGATTTTGACGGCTTTGTCGGTCTGGGATGTACGCTCGTATAGGCGAAGGAGATTTACCGTAACTCGCTCCAAAATCTGATCTCCACACGCTGGCCGATCACGCCGAACTGCACTATAAAGCCGGCTCCGGATATCCTCTTCCTTAATCGGGCGACGGCGGTAACGGTAGCAGCTAGCGAGACGCTCTGCAAGCTCAAGGCAGTACTCAACATGGATTGATGGAAGGACGACGTTTTCGATCGAGGGCGCAAACATCGCTGGCCACACATCTCGCAGCACTCGCTTCAACACGCTTGTGGCGTCATGCCACCGGTGTTGAGAAAGGTACATTTCGACCAGCGTTGTGGTCGCTGTGGTGGAATCCTGGTTGCTAGATGTGCTACTATAGACTATTTCTTTGAGGGTTGACTCCGTCAACATAGATTCAGTAGACGATGAGCATATCACTTCCCGTGATGTGGACTGGATGTGCTTTTCCACTTCCTTGTGGGTGGCACTCTGGCTGCTAGTGCTTTGTGCGCAGTGTTTGAAGGTTTCGAGGGCCAACACAGACAGTCCCACGGACTTCATGACCTGAGCAAGCTCAAGCAAGTGGGGCACCAAGGATTCGGCGCTGGGGGTGGTCTTCTCGTACTCTTCCCAAAACCCGGCAAGGATAGCGGCTGCTTCATTGTCTCTCTTCCGGCCTTTGAGGTAGTGAGCATACTCGAGAACGGTCTGCAGCATTGAGACCTTGTGCTCAGTGGAGTGATCGAGCCGATATGCCTGGCTAGCTTGCTGCCATAGCTCAGCATAAGTGCATTCGGCGGCCGCTAATTGACCCTCCGCTCTCTGTCGCTCGGCTTTGGCCAGGAGAGTCTTCAGGTCAAAAGTCGACGTGATCAATTCGTCCGCTTCTAACCCATCCAAATCCAGGATAGTGCTTGTCTCTGTCGTAGTGTGCTTCCGGCCGTGGAGGTGGACCAGCAATGACTCGTCTATCTGCCGAGATCCACTCCGCCGGATCGTACTATCGACGAAGGACCCTTCAAGAGAGGCATTGACCTTCTGGGCCTTGTGATCCTCCTTGGTGAGAGTATAATGCTCAGATAGCTGTCTCAACGTGGACTTGACCATATCACTTGTCGCTCCGTGGTGGACCTTCTGGCATTCCACCATTAGCTGGAGCATTTCGATGCGCCGGGTCATGACTTCCGTCTTGGACTCAGTGATTTGATCAACTGTAGCTTCCAGGAAGAACTGGGTCATCTGCATAGTGATGAGATGCCGTACAGATAAGACCTTCTCGCTGATTGTTGCCGCCTCGTAGAAGATCTGACTGCTCTCGGCAGGCACGCTGTTACAGATCTGTCGGTGAAATAGCACCTGGCAGATGATAGCTTGCAGAGTAGCTGGGTGATTGTTATTCAATATTTGGCGGTACAGGGTTGTCTGAATCCCATAAATGGACCGAAGCAACGGTGTTGCCTTGCTTGCCCACACAGTCATCTCCAGGAGTGGCACAGAGGAGCTTGTAGGGAATACGGATCGCAAACTCTTGCTTGCGGTAGTAAGCTCTTGGTTGTTGGTGCACCCAAACGCAATCTTAACATAGCCTGCCCAGTAACGAAGCGCGAAGTCCAACAGGGGATGTTTCTTGAACAGGTTTTCCGTCGCCCGTCCATTCAGCGGATCCAAGGAGAGCTCATGGTTGTCGGTCGCGGTCTGTTTTGCGTACTGTAGAAGTCTCTGCGCAAAGTCCACATGTCTGTCCTTAATCTCAGGCAGGAATTTGCCTTTCGAGGAGATATCGATGATAGCGGTGCGCACCTGTGCGTGCCTAAGATAGACCAAGTTGTTGTGGAAGAAGACGAGCGAGGCGACTGGTTTCAATAGGTGAGGGAGGTCAACGTTGCGATGCTCGGCGAGCGTGGCCTTGTCAGGCTGAGTGGCGAGAAGAGCAGCCAGTTCCCCCTGGGTGAGAGGGCGGTTCGCGGTGGCCAGCCAGACCAGAGTCTTCTTCGTATCCTCGCCCAGCTTGGACTGCAAGGTGTGGGAGATAAGATCGGGAATCTTATATCCTGCTCGGACAATACTTTCCACAGACTTGGAAAGAGCGGCCTCATTTGGCAAGTGCTCATCGCGCACACGCTTGGCAGCCAGCTTTGCCCAAAGGAAGGAGCCATCGGATGCTTCCGTGACCCGAGCAACGGTTACCTCCTTTTCCTCGCTAGACATGTTGTTGTACACATGGCTCTGATGAAGCACTTTGCGGACGACTGCGGCAATGTCGTCGAAGATGAGGCCTAGCGTGACACGCAGCACCGTCTGGGATATGACCGACTCCATTGCCTGGGATGCGAGTATGATCAGCTTCACACTAGGTGCCTTGGATGCCGCCTCCTGGAGCCGGTGCAACAGGGCTTTCTCCCCACAGCTGGCTTCGTCGACGCCGTCGACGACTAGGACTAGCTCTCTCGTGCCCGCCGTACTGGTCTGGAGAGCACTTCCCAGGGCATTCCATAGGAGATCGTCGTACGACTCTTCATTTACAGTCCACTTGCTCTGGTTGTAAGCGTCGGCCAAGATTTCGTACAGCTGCAGGTTTCCGATGCGCTTGTTAAACATTTGCGACATGATCGTCTTGGCGACGGCACCCGGGGTGGTGTTTGCGGGGATCCGACCATCTGCACGGCTGGTTAGGGGAGTAAAGGGGTGGGGTTAAGGACATGAAGACTGACTGATGGGGGCCAATATGGACATATAACTTGTCCCTCCTACAGAATATTGCAGATAATCGTTGATCACAGTCGACAAAACCGTCTTGCCGGAGCCCGGCTTGCCGGTGATGGAGAGCACCTGCTGCTCGCCTTTTAAGAAGCGCATCAGGTATGGCTTCACCCACATGCAAGTGGCCTCCTCGCGCTCCTGAGCCGAGGGAGCTGTGGCTTCAGTGACGTGCGCAACCACCGGGTCTTCGGGCTGCAACCAGTCTCTAAGGGCATTGATTCCGACGGCTATGTTGATATTATCAGAATGGACTAGGTGACCTTTGAGGGTTGGGAGTGACTCTACCTTCATCGCCATCAAGGCCCTCTCGCGTCAATTGATGACGCCACATAAGTTCCGAAACGTGCTCACAACGACCACGAAAACTGTCGATCGGACCGGGAAAGGTACTATAAATATCAATCGATACCAATTCCGAGGCAAGTAATGACCGATGGAAGTGCCTGGCCACGCAGACGACAAGAGTCACCAGATCCGCCAACGCAAGGATGAGCTGGTCCTTGATATCTGAAGAGACAACAAAGAGCTCTGCACGATCGAGCAGGTTGCCGAGACCGGCAGAGCAGCGGTAGAAGAATCCAAATAGGTCCATAAGGGCAGGCGCGTTTTCCTCGCCCAACTGCGCGTTTGCTGTTAGTGAAACAACTCAATTGGGCTTATGGCCAGGGCTTTTACTCACCTCCAGCAGGCTCGCACAGTAGCCATACGATAATTGGGCAGCGAGGTGGCTGTCGCCCGCAAATTGCTCGATTCCTATATCGAAGGAATGCACGCGCTCGATGAACAAGGCCGCCCACACAAGGGCCTTGTCGTATCGACTCCCTTCCGGTGGCAGCTTCCTCATCCTTTCGCACCGGATCCACTCCAACAGGCTAGCATAGTCGGTATCTGACACGCGAGAGCCTGTAAGGTCATCGCTGCCCCGACGCGCAAGCGAGTTGACTACATCGGCGAGTGTGGTATCTTCTCCACTGAGCCTCATAGTGGTTTGCTGGTATTGATGACGGAAGCTCTTCTCCTTGGTCATGGTCGCGTGCTGCTCTGGCAGATCCGAAGTCGGCCGCAGACCAAGAAGAGAAGCAGGAACCTGAGGTACACCATGGGGTGCTGAGGCCATGTTTGCGTGATTTACTTTCGTATTAATCAAGGATATCAGGAATTATGACATTAGCTAGGCCCCGTTATATGATGAGGAGGGCTTTTGGGTCCGGTCCGGAGAAGAAGCTTCTCTCCCTTATACCCTTACTCTACCCCTTCCCCCCTTCTCTCCCATAATACTGTGTCATCCTATGCTACAAAGTCCACGACGTCAATATGAGGCAGCAGTAACTCAGCATGGCCGTCGAGCCGAGCTGAGAGCAATAGCATGTCCATGGTAAGATCGTCATTTTCGCCACGATAATAACATCATTCGGCACCGGCCGCGCGACTCCCTATGGATCACTAGGGGATTTTGAGGCAATCAAATCATGTGCATGACCAGAAATACATGTAAGTAGAGTGGAGTGCGAATCGCTAACTAGGTATATGGCCGAAGACTCTCGAGAGCCTTTCTCTGGCCAGAGCCAAGGTTTCTGCGCCGTTCCTAGCAAAAACAAGCGTGTCGGTTTATCCGCCGAGCTCCGAAAGTTAATTTGTTCCGTTTGGACGCAATGACATACCCAGGCAGATCAAGGATGATCTGATGTCTCAGATCGATGCCATGTCGAATGCTCGAGATCTACATCGGTACCGTAAAACATCTACCGGCATCTACCTAGGTACATGTATGGTACACCTAGATACTTGGGAAGGTATTCCAGTCAGTCATGGGTATGTAATTAAAGTTGTATTGGCTTCAAATCTCAGCCAGCCACGAGTAATTAAGGTTGTATTGATCCATGGGGACGGTATGCTCCACTCTCCGCCATGACCTCATTTCCGGTTCCTACACATACCGATGGACTCATATGAGGACACAATTACCTTCCAAGGTTGCTTCGTACGTGTAATGGCCAATTATCAAAATTTCAGCTCATCACGGCTAAGTGCATGCCATATCAAATATTATGGGTGCGGGGTTACGAAAGGGTCTTTTGTGATGAGCTTCATTTGGTACACTCGAATCACATTTCAGGTCTAGAAGTGGCAGACAACCGGTAATGTGTAGTAGAATTAGAGTTACCCGCATTTTATGGAATAGTTCGGCATCGTAGTTCAAGTCAACCAAACAATCCTCAGGATTCTGCCACGGTTCGCTTGATTGTGACTTCTAGTACTTCCGCGCCTTCAGGCAAGTCGGCCCCATCGTCATTCTGGTCGAAGAATAGCCTCCAAAGGCCCTGGACATTCTCCACGCCCAGTTCTTCAGCTACCTTCTCGTCGCCCGGAAGCCGCACGGCCATCCAACCTTCCCAACCCTGTAGTGTGATCCGCTCTTCATCTTGTGTCCAATCGAAAGGGCCACAGATGTTTCCTTCACTATCCTGTTTCCCTCCCCATCGCAGCTCATGAGTCTGCGGATCAAGATAAACCCAGCGGAGAGTTGGAGGCGTTTCGCCTGTGATGGTGACAAACCCCGATGTGTTACCAGGGGAAAAGTCAGGGTGTTGGTAGAAGCTACCATTTAGAGGAACAAGCTGTGGACTGGCAGATTTGGTGATGTAGATCTATATTATGGTAAATTATAAGCCAGGCTCGATTTGAGGTAGCCTATACGTAAGGAAAAAAAAATCAAGTCAATTGGTTATAAGGGAGCTGACATGCCTTTTTATCCGCGCCCAAGTATACTTTCGCATTATGAATTGCCGATCTCTGCTGCGGTAATCCATCCAAAGGCATGCATTGTACCAAAAGACGGCAGCGCTGTTGCCGTGCACTCTCTCGCCTGCGCTCTTCATGGTCCCGGGTGCCCTTGGAAGCCTCATTGACTCCAATGATGGTTGGGACCATCGCTGTCATCAGGAAAATGCCGAATACCATCGTAGTGCAGAGTATTATGCACTAAGCATGAAATTGGTTGTACTCATGAATTATTGCTGGCCTTTCTAATGAGTTTCCAGCAATGCAACCTGTGTGGCTCAATACAAAGCCTAGTATGAAATTGGGCCCATGTCGTCCACATACCTGCTGTGAGACAGATGCTAAAACCCCGGTTTGATTGACGTAAGAAGCATTAAAGTTTATTTTATAGTTTGATAGTGCAACAATTCTTGTTTCCATTGTCTACCTTGGTAGTCGTTAACGGCCTACCAGGGTAGATGCGTCACTCGCAAAAACACCTTTCCGCAAACGGCTAGTTGGATATTTTGGTTCTGACAGCTGAAGAAACCATGGATCTGCGGTCACATCACTTACAATAAAGATTATGACTGTTATTGTTTCTAAGATGTAGCATTTTAGTTCGTGGACTCGTACTGGTTATTGTCATTGACTCGCTGCATTCATCATATGTTGTAGTGGAGGGAGATAGGGGTACATCCCACATAGGTATTTATATACTGCGCGAATATTCTGCCCAGAAATTCTAATGCGCAAGTAATAATTGTATGGGTAATTCTTTTACTACAGCCCAGTCAGTGAGTTTTATCAACATTCATGATTAACAAGTAACACCTAATGACTTTCTTCCAGGATTTCCCCCAGACAAACGGACTACAAGTACGAAGATGGAGGCCCCTGTGCCAGCATTGAGGTATATTAAAGCCCAAATCACATTCTATACCCTCATATTACTACTCTATATGCAACAAAACCCCTCCTCCCAAGTCGGAAAGGCTAACCCGAGATTCGACCCGTGCAGTGGCGCGCCTACCCCTGGCAAAGGAAAGCGTAAGGGCCGCGAGGGATCGGAAAGTTCATCTCCTGGTGACCCTATTGAGGGTCTGGTGGATCCCGAGACACTGGCTAAAGGAGGTCCCCTGGTTGGACCTGGCGCCGCCCGCGAACTAGACAAAAGAAGAAAGGAGGAGAGCGGAAAGGAGGAAGAGAAGGGCAGCCTGAACATCAGGATTCATCTGGACTTGCATGCCAAAGTGAGATTGGACTTAGAGGCTGACTTATATGGAGATATTGTGATTGGTTTACTGTGACAGGGAGGGTTGCGATTGTTACCTATCAATGTTGCCGGAAATGAGGGAGAATATATGGATTTCTTACAGTACTCCAATTGCCACTTATTATTTTTTGTCGGCTCACTACCAGAAGCAAGAAAATATCTAGTCTTCTTAGTTTCGCAATGAGGTCAGAGTTTGCCTAAAATTATACCATCTCGCTACTGACGGACACCAGGACTCTCCAGCATAAACAAGCAGATGGGTCCATTATCTTGAATTCCAGTATAAGCTGTCATTGTCAAGTCTCTGAGGAAATGCTGATGTCTCGAGCATAATCATATCGCTGACAGTTACAAGGTAAGTACCTAGGTACCTAGGTAGGTACAATATCGGAAGTCGGCAACAGATACGCCATCTCTTTTTGAAAGAAAAAGTAGTTCCGCATCCACCTAAAACAGCTGCTTGCTTAGCTCTAGCATGTCTCTACCTATCGGATCGTTTGTTTCTCCCCCGATGTGTTGCCGTACTACGTAGGACTGGAGATGTTAGGATTTTGGGACGCTCTCTGACCTCATTATCATTGTGCTACTACAAAATCTCTAGTATAAATCGGCTGTCTGGTAATAATTGCCTGATTCCATATCAGAAGCCACTGCCCCGAAGCACATAATGGAGTCACCTAAAATATTTTCTGGTTCTCTTTCGATTACCCACTGGCTAATATGCATTCTTGGCGCTGCCATTTTGGTAGGCACAACAATTCCCCTCATATGGTGCTGGGATGTTACTCTCTTACTGAAACGATATTTAAGAACATCATCTATCGTAGACTCACAAACCCTCTGTCTCATATACCTGGGCCCGAGATATCGAAATGGACAGAAGCCGTTTATACATACAATTGGTTTAAGGGAAGGACACCGATGTATGTTCAGCAGCTTCATGAAAAATATGGTATATATTGCCGGCAGTTAGTGTAATCAAAAGAAGACCCCTAATATCGAGATAGGCCCCATTGTACGAATCAGCCCAGATCAAGTCGATATCTGCGACACAAGCGCCGTGAAAGAGATCCACAAAACGAATAGTCGCTTTGCTAAAACTGCCTTCTATCGCAAAGTGAACTTGGGCAATGTGCCCACCATGTTTTCAACCACTGACAGACATTTCCATACCCACCGGCGGCGTCTTTTAGCATCGCCTATCTCTGAATCGTCGTTGGCTCGTCTTGAGCCAGTAATAGCCAATCGTGTCCGTACGGCTGTCAACAAAATCACAATGGACCTGATGGCTCATGGTGTTACTGATGTGTTCAAATGGTGGCTGTTTATGGCTACGGACATCATTGGCGAACTTACGTTTGGCGACTCATTTCGAATGCTTGAGATTGGCAAGGTGTGTTGAGGGCATGAGCTCGAGAAATATACTAATGGCAATTATAGAAAAATCAATACAGCCTTGACATGGAAAGACTGATATCACTGCAACCCTATCGAATGAAGTACCCGTTTCTAGTGAAGATTGCAAGGTATGTTCCACTGCGGGCTATTAAGGACACGGCGAAAGCAGAGGGCAGACTCCAGACGTATGCCATGCAGTCCGTTGATCGCTACAAGAAACTCATCTCTCAAAACCCATCCAACCCAAAGCAAACCCTGTTCACGAAACTGTTTGATGAAAAGAGCGGCATGTCGTATTCGGATATTATACAGGAGGCTCGGGGATATATTGTTGCAGGAAGCGATACTACAGCTGTCACGCTGACCTATCTTACGTATTCCGTGTGTCGGGATAACCGAGTGCGAGGGAAGCTTGTTGCCGAATTGGCTACTGTTCCGGAGCCTGTCACGGACAAAAGCCTCAGAGACCTACCATACCTCAATCAGGTTATCAACGAGACTTTGAGATTATACACAGCTGTTCCGTTCGGTTTACCTCGACTAGTCCCACCCGAAGGTGCTCATTTCAATGGGTATCATGTGCCAGGGGGGACGACAGTCTCAACCCAGGCCTATAGTCTTCATCGAGACCAGGCTATCTTTCCAGACCCGGATAAGTGAGTATAACCCTTGATGGTGTCAACACTGGTGAATTAAACAAGATAATAGTTTCAACCCCGAGAGGTGGGAAAATACTACAAAAGAAATGAAGGATGCTTCTTTACCATTTGGTGGTGGATCAAGGAGTAAGTCCATTGATGTTGCTCACGGGTTGAATCACCAATAGAGCTAATTCTTATAGTCTGCTTGGGTATACACCTAGCTCGAATGGAGCTCCGTCTAGCCACGGCACTTTTCTTCCGAGCCCTACCCAATGCTCGACCTTCTACGAAAGAAGGCATGACAGCTAACGACATGGAGATGCAATCCTTCTTCTTAATGGCACCGCAAGGCCATCGCTGCATTATCGAGACATGATGTCTATTCAGATAACCTTTGAATCATTGCAATCTTCAATCTCTGCAGCGATATTAGAGTCGTCTCATGGAGTAGGTCTACAGGGAAACCTGTTGTTCAAGGGTGTAGTTGGTATTTACGACAGCCGGTTATCATAGCAGCATTTAAGGGAGATTGTGGGCTTGTATTCCATAAGGCCAAATGAGCACCAAATTTCTCAATATGGTATTAAGATGTTGCTCCACATATAATATCGTGTAGAGATACCGAGCATTTAATATTGTACACAACATACCAATTTTCTCAAGAAGATTTTGCTGTCGGATGTGTACGGGGTAACTTCGCTAAAATTTACCGGAGATTATAAATTACAGGACGTGCACTATGCCCCAACTGGTAAGCTCAGTCCTCACACCTTATTGGAGCGTTTTACAGAAGCTCGGCCGATGCCGCAGATTTACCGAATGGTCTTTCCGAAAATTTCGTCAGAATATCCTGCGTATATTGTACAGAGATGAAAAGGTAAACTGTTAAACTGTCCGGTTCCCTAATAGTGATGTCGTTCGATTTGTGTTCATCCTCAGCATCTTATCTCCGTAGTGACCGACATTATCTTTCAGGCATATACTGGGAATGTATGTCGGGCCGCTACTGTTTATTGTTTACTACCTACATAGGATGCTTGGATGTTGGCGACTCTACGCTCTATGTATACTGTGTTGTACGGAGTACGGAGACAGAATACAGAGTAGTAACCTGTACACGAAGAAGTTTTGGAAATTTCGCTTCTCTCTTTGCTTTCCCTCCCATTTCCCCAACGCCAGATTACAATATAAATTGCACCAAAGCCCTTGGCGTCGCCAGGGCCTGTGGCGTGTTAGCGGGGACCCTTCTTATACGAGTGAGTGGTCTCAGGATACATATAATGCCGATCACATCCGATTAAGGACTGCCGTGAAGTCTCCACTGCCTGCGATATGGTAAACAACTTACTTGCCTAGGTAGCTGGTAATGCGTAGATTAGCATAAGATTCCATTGCGACGTCAGCTATAAAGTGAATGTATGTGATACCATCGTTGTTTTCCCTCCGCGTATTTCCTAAGTATTTCCTAAGTATCTATGTTGTACATGTAATAATGCAGATCAATTGGAAATGGCCCCCAACTCACTCTTCACCATTTGTATCCGCTAGTAAGAGACACACAAACCCCCCCCTTTTCCGTCGTCTATGGCAGACGGGATTGGTGCAGGCCTCCAGCCTTGGACCAGCTTAATATAAGCACCAAACGTCCCCCGGTTCAGCCCCAGTTGTTTCTGGACCTTACTTCGACTCTCTCCGGTTTTTCTATTCCTTCAATTGTCTTAATTGATCCTGTCAAATTTTAAAGTTGCATGTGACAGACCCCATGTCAGATATGTTAAGTAGCCCATTTGGGCTCTCCGTCCGCAGAAACGGCTCCTGTCTCGCAACGGAACAAGACTGCGGCGGAACATGGTCACCCTTCCGCGCCTGTTGTCCTGGTGGCACGAAATGCCCAACCGGCCAGGACAATGTGAAATGCTGCCCGTCAGACGCAGACTGCACCGAGTTGCTCGATCACACTCATTGCGCAAACAGCAGTGCAAATGTCTATAAGGCCAATGATTATTTTTGCTGCGCTGCTGGCATGCAGGCGTTCCAGAAAGAGAACGGATTTGTCGGCTGCACAGAGGATACGTCCACCCTGGATAAAAGTTTAACTCTCTTGAAAATTCGGTATCATGGTATATGAAGCTTTTGCCTGAACATTTACTTCACATTCATGGATTTGAACTGACTCTCTAACCCCCTAACTGCAGGCACTACCTCAACATCCATGCCATCGTCGACAACATCCCCCACCACAGCCATTACCGATCCTGCAGCAGGGCCCACCACTGAAAGCGCATCTGAGAATTCTTCTTCGTCATCCAATACTGGGGCCATTGCTGGCGGCGTTGTTGGCGGAGTAGCTGGGTTGGCCATCCTGGCTGGTCTGCTCTGGTTCCTACTTCGTCGCCGCAACAGGGCAAAGCAGAGCATAGGAACACATACGGACCCGAGCCCTCTAATGTCCAGTGTTCCCGGATCAAGTGTGATCGGATCAAGCGTCCCTGGGTCGAGTGTCCCCGGATCGAACATCGTCGAGTACTACAATAAGGAACCCCAATCACCGCAAGAACTTGCTGGCACTAAGGAGCCCTTACCGCCACAGGAGCTTGCTGGTCGAGACGAAAATATGGTGCATGAATTACCATCCCAGACGACATATCGATGATGGCGTGTATAGTGTCCAGGTGGAGCAAATACCCGAGAGAAAGTCCCATACTCTCTCACTTCTTTATGTTATAAATAAGTAATACAACAATCTCTTTCGACTATAGCGCAAGACAAAATAAGGCGACACTTCTTCATGAGGCTACAGGGAGATGGATGAGGAAGAAACTCTTGGTATTCAAACTAGCAAAGCAGGCTCTTTATAAAGGCCTGAACTAACAAAGGACTAGCAAACTAGTAAAGAAAAAGCTCAGTCTGCACACAGAAACATTCCATCATAGGGGGGGTTCTCCAACACTCCTCCGGTATTACCTGACATTGTTTCATGTCACCAGATCCAAAATTATAGACCAAAAATCGGCCCGTTGCTTCTCACATCTCACTATCAACATAACTTCCATCCGCGGCTAGCGTGGCATAGTAAAGATCTGTCTCGCCGCAGAGTACCATTTTACCTTTCCCAGCGAAGTTGAAATTCGCCGTACCAGTTGCAACATAGATCTTGCCGATGAGCTTGCCAGATGGGTTCCAGACATGGACACCATCACCACAGCCAGCGTACACATTACCCTTTGAATCGCAGTGGATGCCTTTCAAGACATTAGCCTCAACCATTAAGTGCAGCTTGTTTGACTTACCATCAGGTGCACCAGCGTGAACAAAGGCAAAGGTCTTGCGGTTCTCGAGTGTACCATCGTCTTTCACATCAAATCGGTAGCTATAAAACGCAGTGGTAATCAGCGTCAAGGAACAAATGGAACACTAGAAACGACAGTACATACACAGAGGCAGGGCGGGTAAAGTTAAGGCCGAAGAAGCCGCTATCAATGCCGGTATCGGCGACATATGCGTGCTTGCCATCCGGAGAGAAAGTCAAGCCTGTGGCAATGTTAGTCGCACTTTCCTTTTTGAGACTGTACAGATTATTGATCTCCTACCATTCGGATGATCAAACCCATCTGCGACAATTGTCACGGCACCTGTCTCGGGGTTGAACCGGTAGACTTGATCTTGCAGACCGGGCGCAGGGCGGAAGTCCTGTACATAGCCATAGATGGTGTCTGTGAAGTAGATATCTTTGTTTTTCGGGTGGATGGCTACATCGTTCAAGGAGTTGAACTGTCGGCCGAAGTAGTTGTTGAGGATAACTGTATACCATCTTGTCAGCCCCCGAAATCCAGAGGACTAGTGTGTACTGACCTGTAGTGTTGAATGGCTCCTTCGGGTTCATAACCCACAAAGCAGGAGGTACATTGTCACCTTGACCTTCGCCGGCATATAGGATCTGTCCCCGGTAATTGGTGGCCCCTGGAGCACAGTCAGTCGTCTGTGACCCCTAAAAGAGCTGATTGCCTACCATTGGGATTGATAACCTGTGGCGATGAATCAACGACGGCTACATTAACAAGGCCCACGGCATCTGACTTGCCGGAGACAGCAGCTGCTTCCGCAAGAGAAATCTTCTGAATAATAGCCGACTTCTCAAGACCGGTGCTGGCGTTCTTAGCGCCTGCATTTTGGACGAAAAAAACCTCATCCGTTCCCTTGGACCTGGAAACTAAAGTCAGACTCTCGCTATTCTTGGCTTATACTTGATTTGCGTGCTGGGTACCTACCACACAACAGCCTCGTGGTATAGGGGGTCCTTTGGGGAGTGGGCGATCCGGGTCAGAGTTGGAGTTTCTCCGATGATCTTCAGAAATTCCTTGTCGTACACATGGAAAGGCTTCTGCGTTAGACTGTCTCCTGTTGAACCTGGAGGGACAAATGGCTATGCATGCATCAGTAAGAGATGCCGCTGGAAACCGCAAACGAGGAATCCCATACACTCTTCGCATTGAACTCGGCCTGGGGCTGAGTCGCGGGTAGGACATTGAAGGCTCTTTGGTCAATCAATTGTGCCTGAGGAGGAATTTCGCTCGAGCTGACTGGTGCTAGGAAGGACCCAAGGAGCAGCAGCGTGGCTACTGAGGAAAGTTGAGGAGTCATTTTTGATGCAGCACTCCAGGTACGTGGAACAATCCTCAAGGGGAGATTGGGTTTTTATCTCAGGGGCCTGGAGAAGTGGATAGACCCCTCCTGTTTTCTTTTTCTGGGGATGATAGACAGAATTTCTCCGGAATTTCTGCGGAATTTCAGTCAAAGCTATGGCATGTCTCAATTGTCGGAGTTGCGCCGAATCTATGCCGCTTTTTGACGTCAGTGCCGGAGCACCGGTGAATTTACCTTTTTGCTAAACATTTCATTAATTTGCAGTTTAGTGAGGAATTCTGTACCTAGTGCTCTGATTATTATATATCTGTTGGATCATTAAATAATAACTCCGTAGTTATCAGAAGAATATTAGCGAATGAAACGTTAGTGGCCTGCGGCCATTGCTACAATATGATTGGTCCTTGACGTTAGGAAATCACGTGGAAGCAGGCTGTCCTCACGTGATACCATCGTGTAGTGAAGGCCTGATAAAACAGGCATCAACAGCAAGAGTGCCGAACTTCACTAAGTAGTTAGTTAGTTATTATTGACTCTCAGAGTGTGTGGCTAGTATTCTGTCTTCGAATATATATTTTTAGTAGATGAATCACTCTGAAGATTTGTGATCGTTATTGCTAGAGGCGCCAGGAACAAGAGAAAGCCGCAATATCCAACCCTCACCATTGTGATTTTAAAAGTTACATTGAAGGAAATCGTCTTCCGAAATCTAATTTTCAATGATAATGACCAAGCCCAGCCAACTTCTATATTGTAGACTCTTCCAGACCATCTACAAGTCTAGACTTGTCTTTTGTCTCAGAAACCCACAATTTTGGCCAAGTCTCACAACGATCATCAGATTAGAGGCTTTGTTCTGCGTAGCGTCTAACCTTATTTTCGAACAGTTGTGCCGGGCTATCAGTTCGGGCAGACCAGACTTCCAAGGTTAAATGATAATTAGAATACCTAGTTTCATGAATCCACAATCCTAGTAGGGCTCTGGTTAGTAGAAAACATAGCTACTATAGTCCTGCTTCCCCGCGTTCGTGAGACTCAGTGGTTTCTGGGGACTCAATCTCGGTAGAAGGTACGGAGTACAGTTGTATAAATCCTGATGATTCCACATTTTTACCCTAATGGTGCCAATGTTTGTATTCAAGTTATCTGATTATCTGACATTGCGAAGTCCTTAAAGAACGACGTAGATATTTGCTGCAGATTCACCCCATATGATCAGACACTGCTAGAATGAGACGGAGTAGAATTCGAGTATGGCAAACTTCTATTTTGAGGCCGGCATGACGAAAATGGCCTCTAGCACTCTTCTTTTCCCACTAACCGCCTTGATAAACTATTCCAGGAATACATCAAATCCTTGACTGGGATCTCTTTCATCATCCCTCCAGTTACGCTTAATCAAAATTCTGGGCTCAGCGAAAAACTCTTCAACCTCTTCAATTGGACTTAAGCCCGGCGAATAGGGTGGATAAACCAGTTTCGCCCCAGCCTCCGCACACATCTGTAAGTGGTGGAACGATGCGTTATTAGACCTGTTTCCATTTAGGCGATTGCAACGTTGATCCCGAAGTCTCTTCCAAGGTTTAGTCGCCAAATGGGTCATCATTTACTCCAAATCTGCGTCTTCTTAGTTTAAGGCTTGGCCGTGGCGCTTTAGTGGAGCGTTGCGGAATAACAGAAAGAATCAAACGGTCCACGCAGGGAAATCTAAGCCGCCGGAAGATGGTGGAGTTCTAAGGGATTTAGCGGATGGCCTGCATGTGAACCAGGAGCCAAGCCTGGATTGCGGCTTTTTCCCAAAGAAATTGGACACTGTTTAAAGAAAATTCAAGGAACAAAGCAGTAAACCATGGATTGTAAAAGGGGTTGGTGGTGATTGGTCACAATATAACCCATGCCCTGCCAAGACCATAAACTGTATTATGATTCGTCGAGCCCTCCATATATTCAGCCAATCGCGTTACTTTTCTCCTGGACCACAACGTCGGCGTCCATGGGCCACACAAATTCCTCAAAATTCCATCAACAATCAACTGCAGAAACCTGTGAGGAGTGATAATTTTCTCTCAATATGAAATACTGAAGTGCTAAAGGTCATATCACTGTTATGCATTTTGACAAGTCATCTTGACAATGCAGCGGCCACAGTTATAATAATGCCGGATCTGAGTTCCTGATAGTTCCGTTGCCTTCAGCCCTGGGCTAAAACGATCTGATCCCTGTTGGGCCCACAATAGGGCATCCTTTTGGAGTTGGACCCAGACAATGCGATTTGCAAACCTTTTGGTTTCTAGACCGGCAGTCATCCTTGGCGAATGGTCCATTTTGCAGTCGCATTCCTACACTGTGTACGCGGGACAGTTCTCATATCTGGTTGTTCCTCTGCATTCTGGAATACCTACCCAGGTACCTAAGTATTGATGGATCTCCTAATTGAGAACGCGGAGTATACGTAACCTTGGAAAGTGTCTCCCCTACCTGCTTTTATTCCGAGCTTGCTCCAGGTCCATCCATGGATCTATGGGTCAGGTATCCATGGATACGGACAATATATTGACCAATGAGGAATCTCCTGGATTATCTAAAGCTCTACATTTAGGTACTGGTGGCTTGAATGTACACAAATGGACCCAATCAGACTATACTTATGTATGGATTCTAGATACTGTTTGACCCATCGACCGGATCCAACCCCATTCCACCTCCAATGGGGACTACATGTCATATCCACGGCCTCGACCTTTGTGGAACCCATGGCATACGAGTCCTTTCAACGGTTTTACGTATGCCCAGGTGCGCGCCCCCAGCGGTTCGCTGGTATGGAGCCAGGTACCCGGAACTTTCGGTTCATCTTTTGCTCTGGGCCTACGAGGCAAGCGTGGCGGAAGAAGAAGATTCTGTCGATTTCGAGGGTATATATACCTACTCTTGTCCCTCCTCTCTGTTCTCTTCCTTCAACAACCACACTCCTTTTGGTACCACCGTTCATTCATTTACAACACTGTCTTTTGAATCCAACTAAGACATAACACTCGTTCATATCTTCATCGATCTCTACCTTCCTTTGTGACTCAACACCCAACACACTCCACCAAAATGCTATTCGCCAAGTCTCTCATGCTGCTCGCAGCCCTCACCACCAGCACCCTGGCCAGACCCACAACCCTCGAGCGCCGCCAGGCCACAGGAACCTCATCCGCCAGCGGCGGCAGCTGGACCTCCACCCCCTCCAGCGGTTCATACTCTACTGCTGGATTCGGCAGCTCCACCAGCTCATCCGGCTCGGGCGAAACATACGCCGGCAACGTCGGCAATCCCTACGGCAGCAACATCATCTCTATTGATGCCTCGTCCGCCCCCAACTACAAGTACGTGGCGCAGTTCTCTGGCTCGACCACCGATTCCTGGACTGTGGCCATCTTCAACAAGTACGGTCCGGATGGCAAGATGACAGGCTGGTACGGCAACGCCTGTAACACTTTCACTCTTGCCCCCGGCGAGACCAAGTACGTCGCCTTTGACGAGGATACGAATGGTGGCTTTGCCGCCGCTAAGGGATCCACTATCCCCACTGATAGCATGGGTGGCTACGCTTCCACCTGGGGCGAGTTCGACTTCGGTTCCACCACCAACAGTGGCTGGTCTGGCTTTGACGTCTCCGTTATCGCTGCGCAGAATGCTGGCATGTCCATCGATGGTATGAAGATCTGTGATGCCCTTGGCTCTGTTTGCTCTTCTGTCACCAAGGATGCTGCTGTGGTCGATAACGCTTACACCGCCGCTGAGACTGCTGTCGGTGGTATTGGTGCAAACTTGGGCTCTGGTCCTGTTCGTCTGGCTGTTACCATTGATTACAGCGGATAAAATTTTGTTTTCTTTGAGATTTGATTTTATATGATTTTGAAGATAGACTTTTGGATCATTCTGTTTCGGAGGATGGTCTATACCCAGCTGGAATGGTATCTGCTTCTTTGTCAATATGGAGACTTTTAGGCTGGTCCTTTTATTTCGGTTTATATACAATATAACACATTCTTTCAAACAACTTCCTCTTTCCGTCGTAGAACTATTATAGGGTTCTATCTTTACTTGGGTTGTTGGTTGGGAAGTTTCAGATGTCCGCGTGGCGTCAACATACGCAATCGCCTACTACGTAGTCGCCACGTAATGAGCCCATCTTCAGGAACCATGTTTCAAAATTTAAGATGGATTAAAGATAGGAATAAGAACAAAAATAGAGTTAAGCTCGTTCCATTCTGAGGACAATTCATAATAAACGTTGGGAGTATATCTTTAACTTCATATCCGTTGACCCAATCCCACCAAAATAAAAATTAATTGCAAGATTACTTCCTTGGGCTAACAAGACCGTAGAACTCAAGCGGCTTGATACTGAATGCACCGTTCGACTCAAGCTTGTAGTTAGGATCCGCCAGCTCAAAGGTGGTCTCCTTAATAATGCTGGCAAGAGTAAAGAACGACCACCGCCAAGCCCAGAGCTTGCCAATGCACTCACGCTTGCCGTTACCGAATCCCTTCTTCGCGGCAGCAGGGAGCTGATCCCACTTCTCACCGAGAACACGCTCGGGCTTGAAGGCCTCCGGGTCCTCGAAGACAGCCGGGTCGCGGTTGACTTGACTCAAGACAGCAATCATGGGCTGGTTGTGAGCAATTTGGTACTCGCCACCGGCAAGAAGGATAGGGCTCTTGTTGTCGGAGGGAATGGGCTCGATGTTGAAGCCGGGCGCGGTAGCAGAAAGACGGATCGACTCGCGCAGGATGGCCTCGACATAATTGAGGCTCTGCAGATGCTCCAGGTCGATCTTGCCGTCGCCGACCACGCGGTCGATCTCCTCCTGCGCCTTTTTGATCTCGCTCGGGTTCTCCATCAGGTAGTACAGGGCGTAGGAGACGAGGTTCGATGCTGTGGCAGCACCGATGAAGATCGAGATGATCTCATCGATAATCTGCGACTCGGAGAGCTTCTCGCCGCTCTCTGGGTCGGCACCGTTCATCATCGCATCCAGGATGTCCTTGCGGGCAGTCTCTGGTTGCTCCCTCCGGGTCTTGATGACCTGCGCAGCGAAATCGCGCATAGTCTTCGTATCTTTCTCGAATCGGCGCTGGTACACAAGCCGGGTTAGGAACCCCGGGCGGGTGGGTCGCTTCATCGCCTCCATGGTGGCGCCGGCCATGGCACTGATCATAGGTGGCTCGGCACCTTCGAGTACGTGCACGCGCTGGTTGAAGAAAGATTGCATGCAGGATGCAAGAAGGAGACGGTCCAGGTCGCTGGTGAGCAGAGTCCGTGTCTTGGTTCCCGCACTCCATTTTTTGGTCAAGTCGGGGATGACCTCCGCCATGTCGCCGAAGAGGTTGTCGGTCGCAGATTGTGTAAGATGAGGCATCATGATCCGGTGGGCGATACCCCAGCTCTTCTCGTAATCGTATGCTGTGAACAGACTGTCGTTCACGGCATATCGGATTTCGACTACTGGTCCTGTAACACACTTGCGGAATCGGGTCTCGTCACAAATCTCTTCTAACAAAGCGACACTGCCGATGAAGACGATCTCATGGCCGAGAGCATTGATTTTGAAAATGGAGCCTAAAAAAATTAGTGATTGCTCGTTAGGGCTGGGTGTTGCCGTGGTCCGTAGACGGGCCGCTATCATACCAAATTGCTTGGCCAACTTGTTGAGCGAGTTCCATGTCTCGTTAGGGTTGATGTCGAAAACATTACCCAAGAGCGGAATTCCGGGCGGTCCTGGGATCTTGGTAGGCATTATCGCTGGAAGAAAAAAAAGAACGATGAGGGATATCACTAGTATATAAAAACAAATATCAGAAGTCAGAGAGAGGGGAAGAGCCTCAACCTCCCAGCGGGCAGGGGGGGAGTCTTAAAGCATCATCTCTGGGTTTTAGTCTGCATGCAAGTCTGAATTGTTTCCCGATCGACAGATCGAGTGGACCTATGCCATTGGTGCAAGAGGGATGTCGCGCTCGGCCTAAGACTCCATCGTTCATCAGTTGTGGCCGAGCTGAAGGATCGGCGCGATGGCGATGTAATAGCGCGGATTGGTGCTGCCGATCGCACTGGGATAGGCAATCCCTTAGGCCATCTGGGACCCCATCTGCAGCCCATCTGCAGCCATCTGGGGCCACTGGGGTAGCTAAAGCGCGCTACGGGCTGTAGTGCAACCAGTGAGCTCAATGGGGTTCAGCACAATTGTCAGCTGGGATCTTCTGCAAGATTTTCCTGCATCTTCAAAACTGTATTCGTCTCCATGCATCCTGACCGCTTCTGCGGAGTATGTAACATTCTCCTTGTCATGAAATCATTGTGTAAGGGGTAGGATGAGCACACAGACGTTGTAGGGTGCAATATACTCCGTACACCATACGAAATCTTCCAAGGTTGGATAGGTCGAATCATAATAAAATATGACATGTCTATTAGACTGATTAGTGGTGGTCCTCTTCCAAACATATGTTGTGACATAAAATAAGCCACTCTAGCCAATACCTAGCCAGTACTAGCTATTATTCGAATAAAGGGAAATTGTGTGAAGTTGGCGTATGTTGTATGTTGTGAAATTCAGCTAAGCTACTGGACCTTCCTTCTACGGACACGAGTCACGTGAACCAGTGTGATGGACTAGACCCAGAGGATCAACTATTAGTTAACTGCTTGAACATAAAAGGACGCTACATTATACGTGTCCCAGATCCCAGGTTTCCACTCGATATTAACTGCATGTATGTATATCCCGGAAATAGTACAGTGTCAACAACCCGAACAAGTCTCCTAACCTAGAACCCAAAGCTGTCCAGCAACGAATTGGCATCCGGCTCGTGAAACGTCGTAGGAGGCGGCTTCGGTTTCGGCTTCGGCTTCTGTTCTTCTTCTTTCTTCGGTGTCTCCCCGGTTGTGGTTTCAGAAACGGCGGATTCCTGCAAGATATCTGCTCGGCGCACCGGCATATCAGCAACTACAAGGCTGCTTCGCCGACGAAGCATTTTCCGGTAATCGACTCCGTTCTCATCCATCTCCAAGGAGGTATCAGGCTTCAACGCATCCTGGGTAGGCAGTCCGCCCAGGAACTCCCAGTGGCGTACCAGATCAAGAGCGAGGAAATCGCAGCCCATACGGTCGTAGAGTCGGGCATTGCGGATAACGAATTCCCATTCTTCTCTGGGTCGCACTTTGGAGGCGCCTTTGAGGGTTTGAAGCGTCTTTTCGCGAAGTTGCTGGTATAAGACTACCAAGGCAGGATCGTTGGAAAGATATGACTTGGACTGAAGGGTTACTCGGCCCGGGCTGCCCGGGGTGGCTGGCGTCGTCGTCGGTGATAGGAGGGTCTCGACCGGCGACTAGATCAGATTAGTTGGGGTCTTGCGGCTAGAGAAGCAAAGTACTCACAATCAGTGCCCGCACTGCCATATCCCGCCGTCCAAGCATCCAGAAAGCCCAAGAGGCCATCCAGCGATTGCCCTCAGAAGCGGCCTCGGGCAATACCTTTTCTTCCAGTATCTCGCGAAGAACCGGTCCGTTGTCCCCTTCTGAGGCTCGCGTAATTGCGATCGCGAGCTGGAGATCACCCATCTGGTTTATGATGACATTTGCAGCGTCACGCAGATGATCGGCGAGAAGGAAGAAAGATGCTGCATATTCTGTTTGATGTTAGCTGGCAGTGCTCAGCCATAGACAACATGAGGTTCTAATTACCAAATCGTCGCTTCCCAAGCAATGCATAAGCATTCTTGAGAGCAGATGTCCTCCATCGCGGTTCCTTGAAGTCATTTGCCAACAAACGTTGGGTTGCCGCTTGTTCGCGGTTCCAGTGTGCAATACGCCAGAGACCCTGAAGGACGTTCTTCTTTCCGAGGGCGAGGTAATATAAAGTACAGTCGATGGGGTTTTTCTCTTCCGTCTTGGTGTATTCACATCGGGCGAGGATTTCGAGTTGTGCTTTCTAATCAACCGGTTAGTTTGTGACCAAGGAGATGATATGATAGACACGCACCACAGCTATGGAATCCGATAGCCACATAAACAGGCCGCTTTCACGAGCAGCCTTCCAAGTCAATTTCCCATTGAACTGCCGAGAGACAAGGTCTGTGAGAATATCTTGGCTGCTGCTATGATAAGCCCAAACAATCTCTCTCCATGAAACAGTGTCTTTGTTGGCGACTCCTTGGGTCCGGCGCAGCATATGCTGTCGGAAAAATAAGAGATAGCGCGCTGCATTATCGTCCATTGAGCGCCGGTGCTTCTCAACCATGGCAACACATTCAATGGTATCTGCTAGGCGGAATTGCTCGTGACTAGACAGCTGCGGCAAGGCGATCCGTGCTAAGCTCTCATTGAGGGCGGCCGCTGCGTTTTCATCTATGACAGATAACAATTCCTCATCAGTGGAATCGACGTAGGAAGAGCGCATTTCCTTGGAGATCGCTTGTTGGGAACCCTAATTATTGTTAGTATTGGGAAGAGAAATGAAACGGTGCGCACTTACATCTTGCTTGTAGAAATATTCTACCGGCATCTCTAGGAAGCCATCTAGCTCATCGCCCTCGGTGTAAAACTTCAGCTTGCGATGTAGGTTCAAGAGAATCGAATGTACCAAGCTAGTCTTCCCAGCCAGAATGCACTGTGCCAAGTACTGCGGATGGAACACAGGCAACGGGCCATTGAGCCGGCTGACAACATCGAAAAGATCGACAAACGACAGCCCTCTAGACGGCATCCGAAGCTCAGACACTAGGCGGTCCCCAACATCAATATCCTTATCATAGACGAACAGCTGATTACCGGCCCCGATGACCAAATGGCCATTACTCAGCCAGCAAGAGTCTCCTAT